GTGACAACTCCTCATTGGTCATTTGTAGTTGACATCTTTGCAGCAGAGTAACACTATCCCACCCAGCTGTCGTCTAGACTCTGTTCCAGAAGGAACCTCTTCTGCGTGGTCTGACACGCGGCTCACGCCCTCAGGCAGACCCACGCCAAGCCCTCTACCCGCGTATTCACCTGCTCCCAGGGCCACAGCTGAGTCCGGGATCTGTCCCGCGAGAATCTGAAGATGAGGTTGGCAGGCTGCACCTTCTGCACTTTCGGGCCTGGCCACGGGATGCCATGGGGAGGCCACCCACACGGTAGCTCGCATCGTGGAGACGTTGACAGGCGTCTGTGGGATAAGCACCTAGCTCTTCCCCAGTGAGGCGGCCTCGTCCTGGCTCCGGAGCAGTAATCTCAGGGCACGCGTGCCTTGGTCGGGGGCTGCCAGGCCACACCCGAGCATCTCTGTGGGGTGGGGGCTGGCCGGACCCGGAGGACGCCCTGGGGAACTGCTGTTAGCCAGGCTCAGGCAGCAGGTGCAGTCCATGCGGAGGCCCGGGGCTTCCTGGTCAGTGGGAGCGGAGAGGGTGAGGGGTCCCTCCGTGCTGGGACCCCTCCCCAGACCTCGCCCTGGGCTGTCCTCCTCAGTACCCTTTTTGTTTATAATAATCTGGAGTCTTAGGTCCAAACACCGTGGATTCTGAGAATTCCTGACTCCAGAGGGGCAGTGGGAGCCGACAAATCAGGAGTCAGGGTGGTGCGTGGACTCCACAGACCTGCGCGGGGCCTGCCCACTGGCCGCCTGAAGGACAGTGTCCCTTTAACTTGGGAACACTGATGGCCAGGGTCAGGGAGACAGTGCCGTGGGGGCGGCTGGCAAGGTGACGACTGAATCTGTCCCCACATTTTGGGGACGGAGTTCGTGCTGATCCTTACGCAGCATCACTGTGTCACCTTTAAAGTCACAGGTGACCCGTTTGCTGGAACACAGGACCTGGCAGGAGGGAGGCAGGCACCTCCCCAGAGCTCTGAGCTGCAGGGCTCTGCCGAGGCGAGCGTCCCATCACCGGCAGACAAGATCATGGTTGGTGCCGTTACCACATTTGAGTTGCTCATTCTGCCAGTGAAATACGCTTCTTCCAAAAATGAACGTCTCTAACCTCATTGAGACTCCTGGCACTGGTGGGGGGCCGGTCCGTAAACCAGTGTTTTCATGCACCTGCACTGGGTGCTTATCTGTCCAAAATCGAGCTTCTTCGGATCAGAGCGATGCGTCCGACACCGAGATGCTGTAGTATGTGCGTGTGCGGCTCTCGAGGGCGCCCGGCACGGCAGCACTGTGCTGCAGAGCGGTGGGCTCGGCCAGGCCTGGCGGGGTGCTGTCCAGGGAGCAGCCAGTGGGTACAGTCCATGACTGAAATATGTGCGTCTTTTACGGAATCCAATGATAATCCTCCCCAATTTTCTGCATCATGAGCCCTTCTTGTAACTCGTCACAGGATCCAAGGACAGGCACCCAGTGACCCACCAGGAGAAGCTGCAGCCCAGAGCTGGGGGGCGGACGCAGAAGTGGAGGGGACTGCCAGAGGGGCAGTCAGCCTGGCCGGGCCTCGGCTCTCCGGACTAACCTGGGATGGCATGCTGCAACCGCCTGAGCCTGCACTTAGCTGACTATCAGGTGGGGTGGGTTTGTTGGGGAGAATGTGACTGGGGCAGAACGCAGGGCGGCTCTCTGGGTGGGGCTGAAATCTGGTCTGCTTTCATTGCCTCCAAATTCCCCGGGGTGGATGTGTGTTCACTAGGGGACATCCTGGGGTTTTCCTTCATTCACAAAGCTCACCAGGAATGGCCAACACGGAAGGCTGACCTGTGAAGGGATGCGTCCAGCGGGCAGAGTGACGCCATTCCTGCTGCAATTAAAGCTTCCATTTCACAGCCTCAAAGTGGCTGTGGCAACGGGCTCCGCGTGGCAGTGACTGAGGACAGTCACCCTGTTGGACGTGGGTGTTGTGAGTCAGAACCGACTCCACGTACCTTCCCTCAAGCGTGGGGACAGGTCTGGTGCTGTTTGTAACCTTTGGTTACAGAAAGCGACCTTGGAGTTCAAGATGCCAGCATTGGCGGCTGCCACTGGCTTGGAGGCTGGACTCCAGTCCAGTCATTAGCCAGGAGCTGGGCGGCCCTTAGACTGGGGTTTGTGCCAGGAGCTCTGTGCAGGGCAAGAAGCCGAAGGAACAAAGTGTGTAAGAGAAACTTGGCGACAATCTGGCTGATGCGGGACCGTCTGGGATCAACTCCTGGCGGTGCTGCCTCCGGGGGGGGGGGTCCCCGGCCCCCGGACGGGCTCTGGTGGGCGGCATGCAGGGCCCAGGGCCGAATACGAGAGGAAGCCATGGGTCTGACCTGGGAGGGCGCTCTGACCCTCGGACACCTGAGGTGCTGAGCCTCGGCCAAGAGCAGCCACAGTGCGTGTGGATCCGGTGAAGCAGGCCACCGACTTCCGTGGGGGTTCCTGGGTCCCCAGCGCCCCGAGGACCCCCCTGCGTCTGGACATGCCCTCCTTGTCCCCGTGGCAGACAGTAGCTCCCGCCTCATCCCGTTGGGTCCCTGGTCCCCTCCCGGCCTGCATGGTGGGCGGCAGCCCCTCCGTCCCGTGTCCACGTGGCGGGCAGCAGCCCCCAATGTGTCCCTCCGCATGTGGTGGCAGCAGTGCTTCTCCGGGTCCCACGTGTGTCCCTGGCCCCCTCCTGTCCTGCTAGGACAATACGCGTGGCCCCTCAGACCTTCGTGGCCGTGCGAGCCGGGTTTCTGACCTGCCCGTCACCCCACCTCAAGCGCACGTCCCAGTCACCCTCTCCCCCTCCCCCTGCGTGGGCTCCCCTCCAGGAATCCGTGTCTCGCCTGAAAAACAGTGACAGCCTCTAGAACCACAGACTGCACGCTGCCCCACAGGCCCGGCGCCTCCGCCGTCCCCACGGCAGGCAGTGCCGCACCCAGGCCGTGAGGAGGCCGTGCCCGGGGAAGGAGCCCCAGGAGCATTGTGCAGGGCTGTGACCCCCACCCAGCAGTCCCTGCGGCTCTGGGGCCCCGGTGCTGCCTCACACAGCCGCCAGCACGTGGCAAGCAGCGAGCCCAGAGCCTGTGCCACAGAGCCCCGTGTGCTTGGCAGTAAGTCACTGCCGTCACCAAACAGCCTGCAGGGTCAGGGCAAGGGAAAGGGTGGTGGTGTGTGCCTGCCAGTGAGGAAGGAGGGCAGACTGAGCCCGCAGCTGCTCCACCTGCTGCCAGGGGCCAAGTCCCCTCAGAGGGACCGGCGGCCGGGCTGGGGGCAGGTCAGCCGAGCTGCAGGTGGACAGTCGATGGTGGGCCGCTGCGCGCGTCTGCCCCTGACTGCTGGCCTCGGGGGCTGAGGAGCCGGCAGCTCCGGGTGCCCACCAGCTCCCTCCTGCCCTAAGGGCTGCTCAGTGCAGAGACTGTCAATCCCCATCTCACCTGGTGAGAAACCAAGGCACGCAGCGGCCAAGGAACCAGCCCAGGCCACAGCTGGTGGGCAGGAGGCTGGGAGCCTGGGTCCGTTCTGCAAAACCACTGAGGAGCTCCCTAAAGTTGCACATGCAGAGCCCTGGGGGCAGTGACCCGCAGGTGCATACGGGGCAACGGGGCTGTGGGCAGAGGCCACCAGGTGCTGGGGGCCGTGCCAGGTGGGTGGGCGAGTGGCTGGCTGGGGGGCACAGTGGTCGTGGGGCCCCTTGACTCACAGTGGCCACCCTCCATCTGAGTCCCCTCGCGATGCAGCCTGGCATTTTCAGCAGAGCCCGGTCCACAGGTAATAAAACGCCCACCAGCAGGCTGTTCCCACGGAGCCCCGCTGCTGCAGGGCGAGCCGCGGCGTCAGACACGCTCGCGGGCGGGACAGCAGCCGGACGTGCGTTTATTAAGTCACTTATTCACAGCTCAGGAGGTCCTCCCTGAGACACTTGACGGAAACAGGAAAGGGGAGCCGTGGGAGCCCGGAGACGTGATGTGGAGTGTCTGCAGATGCCGCCACTGAGGAAATCTGACATCAGAAGTACCTCAGAGGTTCCCGGACGCACCCGGCTCGGATGAGCAGCTGCAGAGAACGCGACCCCCAGGGAGGCTCCCGTGGTGCAGGCTGCGCTCCGAGGTGCACAGAGACCCCGGCGGCGTGTGGACACGGAGCTGCCCGGGCAGGGCACGTCCAGGCTCCTCCCCAGGCCACTCACAAGAGTGACAAGGACAGAGGCATGGCTGGGCACGGGACCCAGCAGGCCACCAGTGTCCCCGGGGCTGGGACACCACCCAACACTCAGCACTTCCTTGGCACCATGCCGTGAGGAGTGTCTACTGCCGGCCAGTAGCGCAAGGAGCTGGGCCGAGCTGCCGTGGAACCCCACGTCAGGGTGTCCGCACGCACAGCAGCGGGCCCTTGGCGTCACACTGTCACAGCCAGAGGAAAAGCTTCCGTAAGAAGAAACACCTCGGATGAAAGTACACCCCTAACGCAGACACAGGCAGCAATCTGGGACTCCATTCAGTGTGGTGATGTGGGAAAGGCCGCCACCTCACAGGTCAGCGGGGAAAGGGAGAGGCGAGAGGGGACCTGGCAGCCGAGAGGTGGAGGGGTCCCCGCACTCGAGGCTGCACCCGAGCTGTGTGGGGCGTGCAGACCAGGCTGCCGGCCCCACCCCCGGGAACCAGTCCCCGGGACAGCAGCTCCAGAGCCGGGGCCCACGGTGTCACTGAGAAGCCCGCAACCGACCCGCCGCGGGGCCTTCCCCACGCTGCCGCCTGTCCTTCCGCTCTGTGCAAACACTGGTCATCTCTGAATCTGATAACCGGGCGCCTTGACACAAAGTGCTCAGAATTAAGAGAAAGCGCGAACAAAATCCTGCAGGAGCCTGAAGCCAACCCGCGGAGCTCGGGCCGAGGCACAGATGCCGGGAGGCTGCCGGACGCGGAGAGCAACGTGCCGGCCCCGAGGACCAACTCCACGTCCAGTGACGTCTCTCACAGCAAAGGGAGCAGCCCCCCAGCTCACCCCTGGCCTGCAGGCAGGAAGCAGAGGCGAGGAGGGGGCAGCCAAGCCAGAAGCCCCCCTCCCTTGGCCTGGAAGCCTGTCTCCATCAGTTGGTGCCAACAGCTCCCCCTGCTGGTGAGCATGGCAGCACTGGGCGGCCTCTGGTGGGTGGGCTTCTAACAGGGCCCTGTTCCCCACCTCTGCCACTCCCCCCTCCGCCCTGAGCCTCCCCGACAGCACTTCCCATGTACCACAGCCAGGAAGGATTGAGGTGCCAGCCCGGTTGTTGGCAGAGGAGTTAGGATTTAATGAACTGCTGCTGAAATAAAGGGGCCTCAGCACTGCCCGTGTTTGAGTCCAGGCCCCAGGCCCCCATGCCCGAGCGTCTTAAGGCCTCGATAATCCTTGAAGGTGGGGTTCTGCCTGTTGAAGGCCGGCTGCAGCATCATGGGCTGGACAGAGTACAGCCTGCTCTGCCCGCTGCCCTGCAGCATGTCCGTGCCTCACAGAACAGCAGGGGTCAGTCTGCTCCCCGCAGAGCAGCGGGTGTTGGTCCCCACACGCAGCACTGGTCCACAGTCAGTCCACACCCCGCGGAGCAGCGGGCGTTGGTCCACACGGTGCAGCAGTGGTCTGCACACCTGAAGCTGGCTGTCCGTCCACACACACGACGTCGGTCTGCACCCCGTGGAGCAGCGGGTGTCAGTCCATACACACGCTGGTCTGCGCCCCTCAGAGCAGGGGTGCTCTTCTATGTGTGCGTCAGTGCAGTGTACACACGTGTCACTCGTCTGCACCCCGTGGGGCAGTGACTGTTGGTCCCCACACACATTGGTCCATGCCCCACGGAGCCACGTGGTACAGTGTCAGTGCCGCAGTGCCGGGCTGCCCCTCTCAGTCTCCCGGCTGTCTTTCTGCAGGGCAGTCAGGACCTGGGGACGGAAGGAGATGTCCCGGGTCAGTCTGCAGCACACACTGAACAGACAGGGACAGATGGTGGCAGCTTCCTAACTGCCTCTGTCATCCTCCAAGCCAGACCCAGTGTGGTTTCTCACAGAAACCATATATGCACATACACCCCCCCAAACACAGCACATCTACATGTGCACTCACATGCACACACCACACGGACACACATGCACTACACATATACTCACTCACATACCATACAGACATGCACTATGCATACTATGTGTGCACATAACACATCTACACATGCAGTCACGTGTGCATGCCACATGGATGCATGCACTACACATACACACACCATACATGCACCATGCATACCACATGTGCACATAACATATCCACATATGCAGGCACGTGTACACACCATAGACCCACACACTACACGTACACTCACACACATACACACATGCACCATACATACCACATGTGCACACATCTACAAATGCAGTCATGTGCACACACCACATGGACACACACATGTACTACACATATAGTCACACACATCACACACATCACACACACATGTACTATGTATACCACATGTGCACAGTCTACACATGCACTGATATGCACACACCACACACACACTACATGTATATTCATACACCATACATGCAGTACTCATACCACATGTGTACATGTCTACATATACACTCACACACCACATACACACAACACACATTACCACATGCACATACATAGCACACCTACGTGTGCATTCATGCACACACCACATGCACTACACATACACTCACATACCACATATGCAGATACACATCTATGCACACACTCACATGTACACACCACACACGTGCAGCACATATTACCACATGTACACACACACATCATACCAACACATGCAAACGCACATACATATACACTACATATATACTCACGCACACACCATACACACATACATAATGTGCAGAAACATGTCTACACATTCTTGCACGTACCACACAGAGCACACACTACCACATGTACACACACACCTACAGATGCACTCACACAGGCACACATGCACTACGTGTATATTGACACACGCCATACACACATGCAGCACACATACATGTGCACACAGCACACACACAGCACACATTACCACATGTACATATACACAATACATCCACACATGCACTTGTGCAGACACCACACACACATATACTCACACACATGATACACACATGCAACATGTGCACATACACACATTTATAAACTCATGCACATACCACCCCATGCCCAGGTGCCACGCCCAGACACCCCCAAAGGGGAGCGGATTAACCCAGTGAGGGACCGTGCAGTCACCAGGCCAACACCCTGCCCCTGGCCCCGCAGGGACCCTGGCTCAGGGCCAGGGGCTCTGGGTTCTCTGCCTCAGCCGGCTCTGCTCTGCATGTTGCCTCCAATGCCGGGTTCCCTGTGGGGCAGAATTGTACGTGGTGCCCACCATGCCCAGCCATCCCATGGCCAGACCCTCTCACCGGGCAGCGGGGCACCCTCAAGTCTGATAAAGGCATGGCTTCTTCTGGTGCCTCCCTGGGCTCCCCCAAGGTGGCCACTTCCTCCTCAGCCCCCAGCTCCTGGCTGACACTGTCACTTTCAACAACCCCTGGTCCATGGTGGCTGCCATGATGGTCCCTCTCACACGGCAGCTCCTCGCCCCACACACCCTGTCCTGGGGTCCCCAAGCAGCTGAGGCTCAGAGTTCACACCCAGACTATCCGACTCCAGAGCCTTTATACAATCTCAGACCCCTGGGCCGAGCACAGGAGAGACTGTTCAGCCTCAGGTAAAGGGGATCGCCAACCCAGCACACACGATGGCTGTGTCACTCACCAGTGCCTTCACCTGGCCCAGTGTCGTCACGATGCCCACGTGACCCACCCTCACCCTCATGGTCAGAAAAAGCTCCAGCACTCGGGCACCTTGTTTGAACCACTACTTTTGCCCTAAAACATAAGCAGCATACCCACAGCACTGGGCTAATCTGCTCACCTTCTGGGGGTGTCTGGGTGGGGTGCCTGGGTGTGGTGTGAGTATGTATGTGTTCATGTGGTCTCTGTGTGAGTACATGTACAGTGTGTCCATGTCTGTGTGGTATGTGCATGTGTAGATGTGTTGTCTTTGTGCACATACGGCATGTGTGGTGCATGTGTACGTGTGGCGTGGGCGTGAGTGTATGTGTAGCTGTGGTGTGCATATGAGTGTGTGCATGTGGTATGCATGTACATATATGGGATGGGTGGTGCATGTGGTGTGTGTGCATGTGTGCATGCAGTGTAATGCGCACATATGGGATGGGTGGTACATGTGTGCATGTGCTATGTGTGTGAGTGTATGCACACATGCAGCATGCATGTGCACGCACAGGGTGTGTGGTACATGTGTGTGGTATGAGTGTACGTGTGCATGTGGTATGTACATGCACACACAGGATGGTGGTGCGTGTGGACTGTGTGAGTGTATGTGTGTGCAGCATGTATGTGTACATATAGGATGTGTGGTGCATGTGTGCACATGGTGTGTATGTACACATGCAGGATATGTGGTGTGTGTGTAAATATGGTGTGTATATGTGCATGTGACATGCACATGCACATATGGAATGTGTGGTGCATGTGCTGTGTGCACGTGTGTGGTGTGCATTTGAGTGTATGTGTGCATGTAGCATGCATGTGTACAGGATGGGTGGTGCATGTGGGGTGTGTGTGAATATATGTGCACACACGGCAAGTATGCACACATGGGATGTGTGGTGCATGTGGCGTGTGCACTCTGTGTTGAGTGTGTGCACACAGCACACATGTGTACACATAGGATGGGTGCGTGTGGTGTGTGTGAGTGTATGTGTGCATGTGGCATGTATGTACACATATGGGATGTGTGGTGCATGTGGTGTGTGCAAGCGGTGTGTCATGTGGTGTGCATGTGTGTTTCACAGAAAAGTGACAGTGAGGTGTAGGAGGGAAGCCCCACCCCGCCTGCCAGTCATTGGCCAGCCCCCACAGCAGTCTCCGCAGACCTGGAGTCAGCAGGACTTTGAAAGCTGGCTGGAGATCCGAGCGACAGGGCACTGGCTGATGCTGAGATGCCTCAGGGGCATTATTTGCAGAGAGCGCACGACGATGGGGCGGATGGCACTGCTGGGGGCCAGCTGGGGGCCAGGTGCCCGGGTGCGTGACAGTGATCTCTGTGTTGAGACTTTCCAGCAGTGCAAACCTGACACACCAGGAACAAGCCCTGCTCGGTGTGCGGGGGAAGGTGTGAGCAGCCACAGAGATGGACGGCTGGCACTCAGGCTCAGGCGCTGGGAGCAAACACGGGGCCAAGAGCCAGGGTGGAGGGTACCTGGGAGGGAGCGAGCTGGCAGATGGGGGCTGGTGACTGCAGACCCTCGGCTAAGCTGCGTCTGCCCACGTGGCCACTAGGGAACAACCACAATTTACCCAAAGGGAGGCGCACCCTCCGCTGCCCGCAGTCCTGGCTCCTGTGCGGGCTGCGGCATCAACGAGCGGCCCATGGAGCCTGTGGTGTCGGTGTGCAGCCCACAGGGCCTGCAGCGCCTTGGCAAACAGCCCGCCCTGCTTTCTGTCTCAGCAGCCTTGCAAATGGGGGCCAGGGGGAGGAGGGCGGTGGGGGGGGGCACTTCCCTCCCTGCCCCCGTCTGTCAGAACCAGTCAGGGCGTGCCACCGTCAGGGCAGGGCCTCACCGGGTCTCCTCCTTCCCCTAGATGGCTTCCTAGGCCGCTCGGCAACAGTGCAGCCCGCGGGAGGCAGCGGGGAGCCCGTACCTGCGCCCACTTCCGGCTCCGGCTCTGCATGTGCACAGCGGCGATGGAGCTGAAGAGCTCTTCGGGCGGCAGGCGCTCAGGCAGCCTGGTGAGCAGCTGCGCCATGTGGATGAAGTCCATGTCGGCCAGCGCGCCCTCCAGCAGCCGCAGCAGCCCGAGTGCCGTGCGGAACAGGAACTCCTCGCCGTCGCGGCAGAACACGTCCCACACGCGGCATGCCAGATCCAGCGGCAGCGACCTGCTGTACAGGGTGAAGATCCTGCGAGCAGAGGGGACCACGCTTAGGCCAGAAGCCGACCCCGCGGCCTGGAAGACACCACGCCTCCTGAGCACGGCCCAGGCGCAGCCAGCCCCTCCACCGCCGACATCAACTCAGAGTCGCCCAGGCACATGCTCACTGGGCACGTGGGCACACTCCCCTGCAGGACCCGCCGGGCCCAGCTGGTGTGACCAGACAACAGGGCGCAGGCTTCACAGTGCAGGCCAGCGGAGCAGACGCCCTGAGCCACTGGGTGACCACCCTGTCCACCGGTCGCACAGCCCTGAGCAGTCACCGTGTCACAGTCTGTGTCCCAGACCCCAGATCTGGATGGGCTCTCCCGGGCGGGGCCCAGCACTCTGGGACCCCCCCCCCCCCCGCTGCTCGGACAACCTGAGAGCCAGTTAGATGCCCCGTGGGTGCTGGTGGCCTGCTGGGGACCCTACACCACCGCCATGCAGCAGGCTGCACTGCCCCCGGGCCCACAGCCACCTCCTCTCTCTCCCCAGCACCAGGTCCAGCACGTGCTTCCTTCGCAGAGCGAACAGCCGGGTGGCGGATCCCAGTGCAGAGTCGGACTGTGGGGCTGCTGCCAAGGCCCCTCTGCCATCAGCACACACTCGTCCTGGGTGCTGGCTTTCACGGGGACCTCCTGCCCCTGCTGGGAATCGCTCTCTGCAACCTTCACCCCCAGTGAGTAAAGCGCCCTTAAGGAGGCCCACACTGGCCCAGATGCACAGGCCAGACCATCCTGACCCATGTGGCTCCCAACAGCCTCAGCTATGTGGCCTCAGCCCCAGGCTCCACCTCAAAACACTCACCGGTGGGGCCCGGAGAGGCTGGGGCTCAGGGGAGAAAGAAGCAACAGAGGGCAGGTCCCCAGGTTCCAGAAGGGCTGGGCCTCTGGACTCAGCAGATTCTCGTGAGAAGTGGGCCCCACGGCCCAGTCACATGTGGATCAGAGGTCAGGTGGCAGCTCTATCCTGTGCTGGTGGGGGCAGGGGAGGCCGAGTGGCTGGGTTCAGCATCTCATCCCCCAAATCACCATGTTCAATGCCAAATCATGAACCGCCCAGAACATCTGCTCGTCTGTCTGGGTTTCTGTCTCTTGGGGAAGTACCAACAACCCCGACAGCATCAGGACGGAAGATGCCTCACTCCAGGTGGCCTGACTCCAAGGACTGAAACAACAGCCAAGTTCCTGCCACACGCCCTGCTAGTGCTCAGACGCTCTCCTACCCCAACCCTCCTGGTCGCCCATGCACGACGCGCCTGGACTGCACCCAAAACTGACGACACACATCAAAACCTGAAAAACATACCCCTCGGCAGCCATGACACATGACCACGTCCACGAGCCCGACGCACGGTCAACTGAGTTCCCGGAAAGCCATGAATGTTCCAGACTTCCCAGTTCCCTGTCCTACACCAGCCCTGAAACCCCAGCTCTGGGAGCCTGATCTGACACGGAACCTCCAAGCTCCTTGCTGGCCTGCAACTGAGATTCTCTTCTCAGCACCTCCAAGCCTGGTGTTTCCAGGTGGACCTGGGTGTTGTGACAGGCAGGGGCCACCTGTCTCGTTTCAAGGACACACAGGGACACCTATGGAATCGAGCAGCTGACAGCTCACAGTGTATTCATATCTGTAGAACCAAGTAGCTTACAGTCCGGTGCATACACACCTGTAGAACCAACCAGCTCACACCCCACAACATATTCACACCTGTGAACCCAAGCAGCTCACAGCCCACAGCGTATTCACACCTGTAGAACCAACCAGCTCACACCCCACAGCGTAGTCACACCTGTGAAACCGAGCAGCTCACACCCCACAGCGTATTCACACCCATAGACCTGAGCAGCCCATGGCATATTCACACCCGTAGAACTGAGCTCACAGCCCACCACGTATTCACACCTGCAGAAATTGAGCAGCTCACACCCATAGCATATTCATACCTATGAAACTGAGCAGCCTACAGCAGATCACACCCATAGAACCGAGCAGCTCACAGCCCACAGCCTACAATGTATTCACACCAGGAGTCTGCTTGCTTTTCTGCCCCCCGCAAAACTGTCACCAGGACCATGTGAAGGAAGAGGGAAACCCCACTTTGGTTGCCACCTGTACCGTAAGAATCAACATCCCCTCTCCTCGTCCTCATCACCAGCAGCCCCACGGTGCCGTCTCTGTGACCCAGAGAGTTACAGTTAAAAGAACACTACCCTTTGGGCTGCTGAGTGGGCAGACATCAGCTGCAGTTTGGGGGTCCTACCCTTCTGGCTGCAGGCTGGTTTCCCACCACCCCTTCAGGTTTGGTGAGTTATTGGAGTGGTCACAATTTCACGGGGTGCACAGTTTCTGCACTTACGACTCCAGGTTATTATGAACAGAGATGGTACTGAGAAGACACCCCAGGGCGGGGTCTGGGAGCAGTCCCAGCTCAGAGCTTATGTCCTACAGGGACACGTTACCCTCCCCAGCTCTCACTGACCAGGAAGCCCCGGGCTCTGGATGGACTACATTCAGGGTGGGCTGAGTCTGTCCCCGCCTGAAGCTGTTCAATAGCCCCCAGGGGAGTCCTTCCAGGGCAGGCCAGTCCCCACCCCCACACAGATGTTCAGGTGTGGCCTGGAAGTCCCAGACCAAGGCACCCCCTGCCCTGCGGTTACTGCTCCGGAGCAAGGACAGAGGCCGCCTCCAGGTCCTTTACCTGCAGAGACAGACACCGTCCATCTAGGGGCAGTCCCTCTCCCTGCCTCGACTGCAGCCTCACTCAGCCCCAGTCCCTCGCCCCAAGCTCCCCTGCTCACTCCACCCTCCCAAGTTGGCTGAAACTCACTTCTGGTTATGCTCCCAGCTCCAGCAAGAGCTTGTGTGTCCCCTCTGGGGACACTGCCCTGGCTCAATGCTGCAGCACTACCACCTTCCCAGGGATGCCACGTACTGCTCTGGCCTGCAGCCTTGGCCCAGGCCTGAGTACCACGTGCTTGTGTATGAGGCTGGGCCAGTCGACTCTCTCCCCACCCTCAGACACAGGCCACAGGCCAAACCCACGGCAGTCAGGGCTCCTAGAGGCAGAGCTGAGTCTTCCGTCTCCTCTTGAGCCTGCAGAACCCACTGTGACTCAAGTCAGCACTGCTCCCCTGAGGTGGCCCTGACCAAGGCCGTGGTGAGCAGGAGCGGTTGGGAGGTGCCAGGAGGACCAGGGGCCCGAGAGCCCCGAAAGAAGCCAGCAGAGGACGGAAGGAGAGAGCAAGGAGAGCACACGGAAAATCCCGTCTTACCAATCGATCAGGTAGATGTCTGGAGTTAAGTTGTTTCTCTTGAAGTGAGCAAATAGCTTGGGCAGGTTCTCCTCAAAGAACACCTCAAAGGCAGCAAAGTAAGTCAGCATCTGAGGAGACAACAAGAAACACACCAATGAACTGACACTCAGCCTAAGTTCCCAGTCTACCAAATCAGCCCACCACACAGTCACACCCACAAAGCCAAGCCGCTCACGGCCCACCGCGCAGTCACACCTGCAAAGCTGAGCCAATCACGGCCCACAGTGTATTCACACCCATGAAACCGAGCAGCCCACAGCTCACAGCGGGTTCACACCCCAGAACCAGGCAGCTCATAACCCAGAATATTCACACCTGCAAAACCAAACCACTAAGCCCACAGCATATTCACACCCATAGAACTGAGCAGTTCACAGCCCACAGCTTATTCACAACTGTGAAACTGAGCTCACAGCCCACAGTGTTTACACACTCATGACGCTGAGCAGTTCACAGCCCACAACATATTCACACCTATGGAATCGAGCAGCTGACAGCTCAGTGTATTCATGTCTGTAGAACCAAGTAGCTTACAGTCCAGTGCATACACACCTGTAGAACCAACCAGCTCACACCCCACAGCATATTCACACCTGTGAACCCGAGCAGCTCACAGCCTGGAGTAGTCATAGCCCTGAAACCGAGCAGCTCACAGCCCACAGCGTATTCACACCCATAGACCTGAGCAGCCCATGGCATATTCACACCCGTAGAACTGAGCTCACAGCCCACCACGTATTCACACCTGCAGAAATTGAGCAGCTCACACCCATAGCATATTCACACCTGTGAAACTGAGCAGCCTACAGCAGATCACACCCATAGAACCGAGCAGCTCACAGTCCACAGCCTACGATGTATTCACACCTGCAGAATCTAGCAGCTCTCTTCTGTAACTCCTGACTCAGTCTGAGCAGCCGTGCTCTATGGGGCCCCCAGGCACCAGGCTAATTTGCCATGCCTCTCTCTTTAGTCGGGAGAATCAGACCCCAGGCAGCTGAGCTGCCAGCACGTGGTGAGGCTGCATGGAATCCTATCCCACTGCAGAGGTGGTCTTCTCTGAGACCTGGGAATGGCCTGGTGTCACAGACTGAGTTGTGTCCTCCAAAATATGTATCATCTGATGTGGTACAAAACTCAAAATCATTTGGAGGCAAAAAAAAAAAAAAAAAGGGGGGGACCAGGTTTGCTGGTCCAATGGAGCCTGGTGTAACCACTGAGACTATGGCCCCTAGCTGCCCTTCAGGTCTGGAATTGAACCCACAACTGTGGTTTCCAGCCAAACAAAGTACAGGCATGTGAGTTAAACATTTACCTCAAGTAGATACACGCCCTGGAGAGAACAATCATGGGAGAAGGAAGGGCTGCTTATGCACAGGGAGATAGCTCAGGGTGCAGAAGAGTATGAAGGGATGGACACTGGGAGGAGGTAACTATGGGGAGGAAGTGGGAGGGGAGCTGCTGCATTGTAAATTTTGGTCAATGACATGAGACAAAGTATATGTGAACTGCTGTATGAAAAGTGAATTTACTCTGTAAATCTTCATCCAAATCCTAATAAAAAAAAAAAAAAAAGGTTTTATCTTGTTGGTGGGTGATTCTTCTTAGTGGTTGGCAGTTATACAGTGATCCCCATGAAGTGGTCTGATGGGATCAGTCCATCAGCTGTAAGGGGACTAGGGTGGGATGCAACACCCTTCATCAGGACCCAGCCCTGATCCAATATAAGGGGAGCTTCCCTGAGGTGTGGTCTGCATCACCTTTTGTCTTACAAGAGATAAAAGGGAAAGAAGGGAGCAGAGAGGGGGACCTACTACCACTGAAAAAGAGACAGGAGTGTCCTTTGGACCCAGGGTCCCTGAACTGGGATGCTCCTAGGACCAAGGGACACAGAGAGAAAGGCTTCCCCTAGAGCCGGTGCTCTGAACCCCGACTTGCAGCCACCTACACTGTGAGAGAGTAAACGTCTGTTTGCTACAGCCCTCACTGTTTCTGTTACAGCAGCACCAGAGACTAAGACATCTGGGAAAGCAGAGCCCAGCCCTCACCCTTTCAGAGAGGTAAACGCTAACTAACATCTGAGGTGAGGACCTTCCACGCAGTCGAGGAAAACACTGGAGGAGAGGACCCGACACCGTCAATGGTGTCTGTCACCCCACCTCTGACAGGTGGCCTGGCAGGGGACCTACTGCACAGGGGTGGGCAGAGCTGGGCTGGGAGGTGGCCTGCGCTGGTTCAGGGCCCACGTCTGAGCGGCCTGCCTGCTCTCACTGACCCTGATGACCTTCCTCTTCCTCAATGAAAAGCAGTGTGTGAACCACTGGCTCCTGACAGGGCAAAGTCCAGAGACACTTTTGGTCGTCACAACCAGAGTGGGATGGTGCGGGCATCGGGAGCAGGGGAGGCCAGGGACACTGCCCAACATCAGGGCACAGGACAGTGCCCCATGGTAGAGCACGCTCTGGCCCTGGGCGTCTGCAGTTCTAAGGCTGAGGGAATCCTATCCCACTGCAGAGGTGGTCTTCTCTGAGACCTGGGAATGGCCTGGTGTCACAGGTCTCACTCAACATGGCAAGTCTGTGCTTGTCCCTTAAACGTGTAAGCTAGACTCCCAAGCTCAGTTTTGATCATGTGTTTCCAAAGTAGAAACTTGGGGTCCTCACACTGAGCAGAACCTCAGACAGCAATCATTTTAGTACATGTAAAAAGATAACACTGAATTCACATTCAGGAACTGTCTCCAGGAATGACAATCGGCCCATGTTGTGTCCACGGGTTGCTCGTGACAGCCGGCAGGTGTTGTGTCCACGGGTCGTCTCATGAGTGGTGGCTTCTCCCCTCTCGTGTCTGACTTTCTGAGCTGTTTCTCTGGGAAGGTGCGTCTTCTCTGACTGGGAGAGCAGGAGCCGTGACTGTGCGCCGTGGAACACTCAGGAAGGACGCACGCCAAGCAGGCTGTTTGCAAACGGCATCAATGCTGTGGCGTCCCCACTGCCGCGGCTGCTCGGGCAGCTGGACAGTCCATGCTGCTTCACACTTCGTTTTTTTTTCCATGTACATTTTTTTTTTATTATGATTTGGGTGAAGATTTACAGCAAATTTACTTTCCATACAGCAGTTCACATACACTGTCTCATGACATTGACCACAACTTACCACAATGCAACAGCTCCCGTCCCACTTCC